GTCACAATGCACACCGTGCACGCTGTGGATGAGACATTCAACATGCCGGGCAGGTATGTGTTTGTGTTTGTGCCTGAATGATGTCGATGCCGCTGTGTGTCTGTGACCATGGTTTTGTTGGTGTGATGGTGGTGTTATGTAGGTGGCAGCCGACGCGCAATCGACGGTTGGTCCAGCGCATTGCGAAGAAGGTCAGTGAGCCCGATCAGCTCACGGTGTGGGACGGCGCGTGCATGCGGTTCAGCAGCAACCTCAACGACCGAGGCATCTCCAATGGGCGCTTGTGCTTTGTCGGCGACGCGTCCCACTGTGCGGATCCGCAGAGCCCGTACATTGCCGTGCGAGTGGCACCTCTGGATGTTGACATCGGCCAGCTTCAGGCCGCGACGTCAGCCGTCATCCAGCAGTGGCCCCTCATTCGCGTGACCGCATCGACACGTCTCCGCACGTTCTCGATTCGCGAATGACCATGAGGCGCCGTAACATATTCCCTCTCGTCCACCACAGCGCGTTGACCGTCCACAAGGCCATCGGGGACACGTTCGACGTCATGGGGACCCGTATCCTGTCCCCCGCTGACCTGGCGGGCTCTGCGTATCATGTATGGGAGAAAGCGATGCTGGTGGTGCTGCTGTCATGCACCCGCCAGCTCAACGGCATCTATTTTCGCAACACGCGAGAGGAAGTGAGGCGCTGTCTGGAGCTGCTGATGCGTCAGCGGTCGGCCTGGCTGGAGCACTGCATTGAGAAGGTCAGGCGGCTGGACTGCACATCGACCCGGGCAGGGGTCACGAGTGCGAGGGTCCCGGTAGTGGACTACAGCCACTATCCGTTCATCCGCAAGACCATAGACATCCCCAATGACAACGTCGGCTACACGTACGCTCTGGGCAGTACGCGAGACCCGTCGGAGTTCTATATCGGGTCCACAGCCCGCCTCCGCGACCGGCTGGCTGAGCACAACAGCGGCCGGGGCCCTTCATTTACGCAGCGAATCCATCTGCGGCCGTAGTATCTGATTGGGTATGTGGCCAATTTTGGTGGGCCAGGGACGGACCCGCGGGTCAGGAGAGTGTTCGAGGCCTTCGAGCGCAGGTGGGACTGGGTGAAGATGGCTCGCGTGCGCCCTTTGCGAGGGGTGTCGGGGATTGATGAGATACTGCTGCGGATGAACGAGCTGATCGAGAGGTTCAGGGAGGAGCAGCCGGAGTGGTGTCACAGTCTGACTGGTGTGGAGTGTGTCGAGCCGAAGCGGGTGGACGTGGGGGCGTCCGAAGAGTGAGTGGAATGTGAGATATGATATGAGTGGAACGTGAGATATGCTATAGCACGTTTTTATCTGGCGGTTGTCTGTTTGTCTGTATGTGTGTATCAATCACACGCCAAGCTACATGAACACTTTCATGTGCTTGTCCTTGCGTTTGTGTCTTTGTGCGTGTACATGAGTGAACTGCAAGTGCATCTATCGTCATAGTTCTTGGAGTGCGTGGCGATGCGGCTCAACGAAACACCAACACACCTGCCAGGCAGACACACACAGGAGCGCTCAGACGAGTAGATCTGTGTGCCGGAATCCTGCATGACGGCCACCATCAGCTCACCGTGCAGCAGGGAAGGCTGCAACACGAAACAGTAGCACGCCTGTGAGGCAGACACTCAGACGATCCACTCAGACGAGTGGATCTGTGTGCCGGAATCCTGCGTGACTTGACGGCGATCACCTCACGGCACTTTTGGCCTCACTACATTTGCAGCGAGGGCGTAAGGGCCTTGTTATGTCACCTGATTCGACGCTCAGCTTATTCACGCCCTCCACGCCAGGTTCGTTGATCAATCGTCAATTCGGCCACCAGGCGAAGTTCTTGCTGTTGATACATTTGCGGGCTGAAAAAACTGCACCAATAGTCCAGACGGAGGCCTGTCACAGCATTGGTACCGAAAAATGACGACATCTGCGATGATATGGCGCCCCTCAACAACATCTTTACCATGAGGCGCGGCCAGGATGCTCCCAATTACATGTTGTTCCAATGAATCAATCTGTCTGCAGATTTCCCTTGATTGGGGACCATGGAACAACGCACCGCCGTGTGCTGTTTGTTTGTTTTTACACCTTCATGGTGGTAGCCCTGCGTGTTTGAGCGAGCTCAGATTGAAGCTTGGTACACTGTGCACAGCCGTTACGCCCCCACAACGTAGATATCGTCCCGCCGGTCTGAAACCTGTCAACGCACGTGAGCCTTCCTCACCTCGATCGTGCGAATGTTGCAGCTGCCCCTCGTTCTCTGTTTGACGCTGATTGTCACGCCACAAGCCATGTCTGGCTCACAGCGTCCCCTTTCCGGCACGAGGACGAGTAGATCTGCGATGTCAACATGTTCATGACGTGCATCGGCTCACCTGGCAACAGGGAGAGCGGCAATGCGGCTCAACGAATCATCAACACACCTGCCAGGCAGACACAGGAGGAGTCAGCCGAGGGCAATAGAGAGGAGGCGCGCAGCTTCACGCTCTTCATCCGCAGGGCGTCAGCCTGGTAAATTTATACGGGCGACAAAGTCAGACTGATAGCGAGAAAGATATTCGGAAGAAAGATATTCCGATGTTTGCATGGACCGTGTCAGTGGCGTTTTAAAAGGGTACAGTCAAAAATTCACCTATCCGTCGATCTGTCCATTCGTTCACAACATACGTGACTCACGTATTTTTGTTCCGCCCTCCTGCGTATCACTTAATTTTGCTTCTTTCGGGGGTAAAATTCGGTCAGAAGCAAAATTCAGCCAGCAAAGTACAGTCACCTTTTCCTTCTTTTCGGGGCTGGGGGCGAGCTGAGTGCACGGCGGGGGACATGAAGGGAAAACCGACAAGGTATCCTAGGACACGCTATCAACCCCTCCCGGTCGGTCGGTTTTTACCTGTCCTCCCCCCTCTCTCCGAAAACCTGTCGGTTTCGGTGCTCTCATCAGGTAGGATCTGAGAGGATTTACTTGGAAAACAGACAGAAAAGAGACATTTTCAGTCAAGAGACGCCATTTATGATTACTGCGTGGCGGAAATGGGGATTTTTCTTTTAATCCAGCCAGCAGGTAGCCTGAAACAGTCAGAAAAACACATCATTCAACCATTCGGTGTCGGTTTTCGGTGCGGTTATAGGGGAGGATGACCGCAATAAGCCGTGTCGGTTCGGTGGAGGCTTTCATGAGGATGGTCGGTCAGAAGGGAAGAATCGGCCCAAATCGGTCGCTTCGTTGGGTAGGACATTTCACTCTATGTCCCCCGCCGTCTGAGTGCCTCCTCCTTTTCCTTTCCTTGTCCGTCCTCATCCTCGTTCTCATCCTCGTCCTCATCTCCCCGCTTCGCTTTCTTCTTCCTGCCTTTCTTGTTGTTGGCGAATTTGTGATGGAGAACAGGCTTGGCACAGATTCTCGTCACCGGATTGCACACCTCCTCGAGGTCATGGACATTGTCGAGGTCCGTCACGGACAGGCCGTCATTCAGTCGGTAGAAAGACATGAAGGACACGCCCAGCGGACAAGACTCGCACAGGCCTTTGACGCAGAGGTTCTGCCGAATCCACGTCTTGGTCGTCCCGTTGCGTGTCGAACGGTCGTATGTCTCTCTCGCGTCCGGACCCTTCAGAGTCCTAAATACGCAAACGTACCCAAACGAAGACAGACAAGACAAGACAAGACAGACAGAGAGACATGAAAACTATAAAGGGGCGACGCGAGAGGCAACGCTAGCGAAGATGGCGCTACATTTAGTTTCTTACTCGCTCATATTCCTGGAGACACGCTCGGCGTTGTTATCGAAATCGCCCGTCAGGTGCCCCGTGATCTTAAGCAGGTTTCTGTCAACCCATGCTGGTGGCTTGATCATGGCCTCTTCTGGAACGTCTCCAAGTTCTTCTGCAGAGGGTTTCAAGTACGCGAGAAAGTATAGAAACAACTGTGCAGAAAGACACAGAGAGACACCAAGCACATACAGGCCATACACACACACACAGACACGGAAAGAGAGCGGTCTGTCACACAGTCTTGGCTGTGTCTCTGTCTCTCCCGCTCGTGTCTCTCCCACTCGACTCATTCGAGTGACCCGCGTGTGATCACAGATTGACTGACCTGACCTGCACCATCATGGACGGCACCTTGAGACCCCAGCCCGGCAGAGTCTTCAGGAGCTGAACGATGGATGGCAGCGGTTTGTTCTGTGCGACCAGCTGACTGACGTCGTTCCACACTATGTCGACGACCGGGGGTGTGACGTCCTTTTTCTGGGCGACGGCGATGTTGTAGGAGGCGGTCATTTTTTTTGCGCCACGCGTGTTGTTTGTCTGCTGAGGCGGAGAGAAGAGGTACTGCAAAAAGCCCGCTGTCACGTTCTGTTGCCCGGCCTGACCGTGGTGCCATGCAGTGAAAAAGAGGGAAAAACAAGAAGAAATGGGAAGGTCTGCTGTGTGCAAAATCTGTGATCGACTGTGTCTCATGTAGAGCCCACAATTTCGATGCACGCCGCGATATCATTCTTGGGCATCGACGCATGATTGCCCTCCTTGGCGGCCGTTTTTCTGCGAGCCTTCACTTCCTTGGCCAGCGACATGAAGGCGTTGAATGACTGCGAGTTCTCGCGGTTGGGGGTCAGTAGAGAGCCCTGCAACACCCATCAGAACACATCACATCACAACACATCACATCACATCACATCACATGACAAGACAAGACAGGACTCGGCGTGAAGACTCATTTCCCTGTGACTCGCTTATCTCTCTGTGACCCCCTCTGACTGTGCCACCCATATCCACATCCGTACGAGGCATGCCCAGGCAAACTTTTCCTTGGTCAGGGACTTCCATGGCACGGGCGAGTCATGCAGCAACCCGGGGAACAGGCCGTAAGACAGGTCCTCGAGGATCTCCAGAAGATGGACCGGTCGGATCATTCTCCCGCTCCCGTCGTTCAGCTGCCTCGGCGTGCACGCGCTGATCGTGGAGTTTTCGATGTCGGCCACCAACACGGGCACGGTGGCGTTGTCGCTCTTCAGCTTGTTGACAATTTCGTCCATTGCGTTGGCCAGGGCTGCGAACGCCACGGACTGGTTAAGCATTAGCTCCCTTGGCTGAATCGCACAAGTAGGGGCCAGTGGTTAGGGGCGTGATGCTCACCCACATTTACGCTCAAATTTACCCTCAAAATGGTTCCCCACATCGTTGTCACAGCGTAGCAGTCGGCAGAAAGGTATGCGTGCACGAGACAGCCAACCCACCGCGAACGCAATCACGCCAAGAAGATTATCACAAGAGGCCAGGCCACGGAGACGGGCTAGGCCATGCCACCGATGTATGTGATGTATGCATGTGTGTACCTCTTTGCGCTGCTGTCTTTGGTCAGTCCAGGTCGTGTTGCACTCGCGGATCTCGTTGATGATGGTCTCAAATACTAAGCCCTGCCCGCTATCTTTCGCCAGCCACTGGATCGTCTCGTGTTGCACGTCTTGCAGGCCAAGTTTCGAGGGATCCTTCAACGCCTGCTTGCAGATCTCTGCATCGGCGTCGGACTGGCCAGCGTCGGACAGACGGCGACGTCTGTCGTCAAACTCCCCGACATCCCTCCCACGCTTGGGTGCTGTGTCGCGGGTTCTTTTCGTGCCGGAAAGGGGACGCTGTGAGCCAGACATGGCTTGTGGCGTGACAATCAGCGTCAAACAGAGAACGAGGGGCAGCTGCAACATTCGCACGATCGAGGTGAGGAAGGCTCACGTGCGTTGACAGGTTTCAGACCGGCGGGACGATATCTACGTTGTGGTGGGCGTAATGGCTGTGCACAGTGTACCAAGCTTCAATCTGAGCTCGCTCAAACACGCAGGGCTACCACCATGAGGGGTGTAAAAACAAACAAACAGTACACGGCGGTGCGTTGTTCCATGGTCCCCAATCAAGGGAAATCAGCAGACAGATTGGTTCATTGGAACAACATATAATTGGGAGCATCCTGGCCGCGCCTGATGGTAAAGATGTTGCTGAAGGGCGCCATATCATCGCAGATGTCGTCATTTTTCGGTACCAATGCTGTGACAGGCCTCCGTCTGGACTATTGGTGCACTTTTTTCAGCCCGCAAATGTATCAACAGCAAGAACTTGGCCTGGAGGCCGAATTGACGATTGATCAACGAACCTGGCGTGGAGGGCGTGAATAAGCTGAGCGTCGAATCAGGTGACATAACAAGGCCTTACACCCTCGCTGCAAATGTAGTGAGGCCAAAAAAGTACGGGCTGCACGACTTGCGGAGCAGTCACACGGCCTGCAAGTGGCAGAGAGAGCGGTGGCACGGCATCACGCAGCCAGACGCATACACAGATACACACAAGCTGTCGCGCTGTAAATGTAGTCAGGCGGAGAAATGCCGGCAGCACAACTTGCTGATGAGCGGCAAGAAGCTGCGGGGGACACGGGATTTGCTCCTGGAAAACTTACCTTCAAAACCACCGGACGTCTATTATAGGAGGTTGAGAAAGGAGCAAACAGCACAGACAGGCTCGGAGCTTGACGCTGCTCATCTCCAGGAGATCAGAAGGCAAGCACGTTTATCGGAACACATTGGGAAACATCCGGGCCGCCTCTCCTGGTAAACTTACTTTCGGCGGGCGGGGCGTCCACGACAGGGGGTTAAAAAGAAGCAAACAGCACAGGCAGGCTCGGAGCTTCACCTTGCTCATCTCCAGGAGATCCGCAGGCAAGGACACCCATTGGAAGACATGTGGGAGCATGCGCGATGGCTCTTCCCCCTGGGACCGTCTATTCCTTGTCATGGGGCGCAATGCCATCGCAAATGTTGTCGTTTTTCGGTACCAATGCTGTGACAGGCCTCCGTCTGGACTATTGGTCCAATTTTTTGAGCCCGCAAATGTATCAACAGGAAGAACTTCGCCTGGAGGCCGAATTGACGATTGATCAAGCAACCTGGCCTGGAGGGCGTGAATAAGCTGAGCGTTGAATCAGGTGACCTATCAAGGCCCTTACACCCTCGCTGCAAATGTAGTGAGGCCAGCAGTGCCGGCTGGACGACTTGCGGAGCAGTCAGACGGCTTCCAAGTGTCAGAGAGAGGGGTGTCACGGAGAGGGGTGGCACGGCCTCACGGCCTCACGCAGCCAGACGCATACACACATAGACACAAGCTGTCGCGCTGCAAATGTAGTCAGGCGGAGAATGCCGGCAGCGCAACTTGCTGATGACCGGTAAGAAGCTGCGTGTGACCACCGACTTTCCGTCTCCAGAGAAAGCTCGCACGGCTCGGCAACCTTGGTGAATGACATCTGTATCAGCAGCAATGGAAGAGGACGGTAGACAGGTGAGTAGACAGATGAGGCGCATGACAGGAGCGCTTGCAATCGACGGCGCACTCCACCGCACGGATGTCGGCTGGCTGTCTGCCTCGCTGTGTGTGGTTTGTGGCTGCAGTTCAAGAGATCTCGTCACGGTAAGGCGGCGGCGGGTGCTGCGGCTTCGTCTGCGTGTTCGTCGGGTGCTGCTGCACCTGGCGGTGGTGGTGGTCGTGGTGGTGAGAGCGAGGAGGAGCGGCAGCGGCGGGAGGAGAGCGAGAGAGGCTTGTGCAAGCAGATCAGCGACTCGGTGAGCCAGCCACACGCCAGAGAGGCCACTGCCGCTGTGCCTGCCAGTGACTGACTGGCTGCGTGGCTGCCTGCGTGTGCTGCGTGTGCTTCGCTTCAGGAGGGCCTTTTCGGTTACATGATGGCATTCCTGCCCACCATCCCCCTGATGGTGCAGCTGGGCAAGTCCATGTGGCAGCGTACCGCAGCCCACCTGTCGCACATCACGATCAGCGCAGCAACCGCGAGGGAGCTGTCCTTCTGGCAGCACATCCCTCTCCCCTTCGTCACCACGCAGCTGGCCGCTCGACTCACCCACGTCACCACCATCATCCTCCGCATCCCCTTCCCCATCACAGACTGGTGTTTGGACGTGGTTGTGGCCATGGTGGAGGGCCTGTCTGGAGGGACCCTGCAGACGATCACGTTGGAGCAGGGGGATCTGGTGAGGATCCGAGCGTGTGGGACGAGGGAGGCGAGGCAGGCGGTATCGAGGCCCCATCCGGCCCTGCCCGCTCGTCTGAACCCACCGCCGACCCTCGACGCAGTCACCACGATTGAAGGCCTACGGCGCGAGCATCATGCGTTGGCCGACCGGGGGTGGCGGATGCCCCGATTCGCCACCGTGCGGCAAGGGCACTGGGATCGCGACGGGCACGAGGAGTAGGAGTGGGACGCCGGCGGATTGCGCAAGTTCATCGGCTCGTCTGAGGCAGGGTCACTGCAGCGTGTGAGCGGCAAGTTCTTTGCTGAGGAGTGGGTGACCGTGTTGGAGGGCATCCCTCCGGCACCTGCTGCTGCTGGGCATGGGCAGCAAGGAGGCGCACCTCTGCGCATGCACTTGTTGACTTGGAGTGTATGTATTTAATGAATGTCTATGTGTGTACCCCTGCGTGCACAGGTCGACTTGGAGTGTGTGTACATGATGAATGTCTGTGTGCGCATGCACGTCTCGACTTGAAGTGTGTGTATCTGACGAACGTCTGTGTGCGCACCCCTGCGCATGCACGTGTCGACTTGGAGTGTGTGTCTATAATGAACCGCATGCACGTGTCGACTTGGAGTGTGTGTCGTGTTCATTATAGACACACACTCCAAGTCGACACATGCATGCGCAGGGGTGCGCACACAGACGTTCATTATATACACACACTCCATACACACACTCCAAGTCGACACGTGCATGCGCAGAGGTGCGCACACAGACGTTCATTTTATACACACACTCCAAGTCGAGACGTGCATGAGCATAGAGACATTCATCATGTACACACTCCAAGTCGACATGTGTACGCAGGGGTGCACATACAGACATTCATCATAAATGCGCTCGTTGGTCACCCCACTGCCCACCTGTGTCCATGCCGACAGCTCCCGAACGCGCTTCCGCGCCTCGCCCGCATCCATCGGCAGCGCCGTCTCGATGACTTCCCTGGTGTTGTCCTGTCGCTGCTTCATATACTCGGTCCCTCGATTCAGCACTAGTGACGAGTGCGTGTGGTTGAGCTCCATGTTAACGTGAATGTTGTACATGAACCCAATGTAGTTCTCGTTGGCTGCGGTCCGAAGGCAATGATCGCGGATCCGCAGCTTGAAGTGCTTCATTGCAGATGCAATCCTCCGCTTCCCATTCCACGATGAGGAAGCGAGCATGGACGCGGGAAGGGCGCCGATGGGAGTGTGGTCCCTCTTGTCCACAAAAAAATGTCGGGGAACATGTCGGCCTCCGGGTGAGTGATGCACGCACTGCGCGTCGAGTCCTTGGCCGTCAAGCTCTGCAGAAACCGCTGTGCCGACAGCTTCATCTTGCTGTCACCCTTCTTCAGACGGCGCCAAAGTCGAAAGCAGGGGTTGAACAGCAGGTGGGCCCAGATCCGGTCGCCATGCGGGCTGATGCTGTACAGAGGGAGCTGGCTGTTGTCCACGTCGAGAAGCCGGTCATCGGTCGCGTTCTCCATGCCAAAGTCTGCCGGCCCAGCGTCCGTCACCGCATCGGCAACCAACTGCTCTCATGCGGCATGCTCCGCCCGGTCCGCAGCGTCCTGTGCATCGTCAGGCTACTCATCAAATGCACAGCTCCTCAGACACTCATTGATCATGTCCCACTCGACCTCGGCATGCCCATTGTCTTCTTCAGTCGCGTTCGCATCCGCACAATGAGCCCCGTCCTGATGGCCGCCGCCACCGTCAGCGTTCATGTCACCATCAGCAGCTGCACCGGTTGCCATACCAACGGCATCATCACTCTCGCCCTGTCTCCTCGATGCCCCAGGTCGATAGCACAGCAGCCGATAGCCAACGTCCTCCTCGCTCTCGGCCTCACCGACCTCCCTGCTGACCTCGGCAAAATGCTTGGCGCACAAACCCACCGGACAGCTCCACCCAACAGAACTTCCCCAATGTATCTTGAATGGGCAACAGTAGCGGACCACCTTCGCCTGACATGTTGCGGGCCGCACTTCAACGCTGTCCAAAGTCGCATCGAACGGTGGATAGCAGCACCCCACCGACTCTTGCACCAGTGAAAGCGGCGAGAGAATGGTCGGATAGTGGCTGTCGTGCTGGCGACACCTGACAATCGACTGGCCGCTCGTCAGCTCGCGGAGACGGACCTGAGCGTCCGTTCGAATGCTCGCAGCACGTCGCACGAACATCATGGTCGTCCAGCCCGTCAGCACTCGCATTGCGCACGACTCGACTGCCTCGTTGGCCCTCAGACTCCATGCCCGTTGCGGTGCATGACCATCAAACGCGAACCACCAGCCAGGATGATCGGCTGCCCACCGCAAAAGCGCGCAAGTCTGGTAACTGCCAGCAGCATAGCGACGCTGCTGTCGCGAAAGCTGCACCGACGCCTCGCGCGGGAGCACCGACGCGATGCACACCAGATCATACGCCTCGTCATACAGGTCGAACGATGTAGCGACCTTCTCCACCATACCTGCACCATCAGTCACATCCATACACATCAACCACTCCATGCCCGACACCTTTTCTTTTTCTCACACACACATCCATACCTGCATCGATGCCGTCCTCGCTCGGTGGGCTGCAGTTCATCACAATCAGCACCTCCGGGTGCCTCACAAAAACACGGTTCGCAAACGCAGCAGTCGACCAGTCGAAGGCCGCTCGGTCAGCCTCCGACAGGGCCGCGACATCTTGTTGGAACGTCATGGCATAGCGGGTCGCCTCCAGCGGCACCCCCTCTCGCCGGGCAAGCAGCCACGGCACGGGAAACACGCCGTCCCACGACTGCATCCCACAGGCGGCGAAAAGCATGTTTGGCGAGAGAACGGGACGGGTCGAAGGGCCAGCGAACCACGATGTGAAGTTCGTGTAAGTCGCCCTCGCCTGCCGGCCACGCCCATGACTCCGCTCCGTGCTCGCAGCACGCCGCTCAATCACGCCCACCGCGAAGTTGGCCGCGTCGGTAGGCCACGCCCGCTCTGCGGCATGGACATCCATTGCCTCGTCCCCGTCTCCGCCTGATACGTTGGCGTCCTCCTCTGTGCCTCCCTGGGTGTGTGAGATGTGCGTGACAAGACAGAGGCAGACAGACAAACAGACAGAAGAGAAACACTAACGCGCCACCGCTCTCTGTGCGTGCTGGACAAGGGGGGTGAGAGAGGGATGGCTGGCTCTAGTGATGGTGAATAGGGATGATGAAGTGGATGATGTGATGGACCCTCAAGACGAGTAACACTGGGTCAAGACGTGTGTGGCTCACGTTGTCTTCTCTCCGAGGGGAGGGGAGGAGAAGGACCCTTGATGTGTGCACACACTCCACGTAGTCCACGGCGACGCAACACGACACTCACGGCAACGCAACACCACAAGACGCAACACAGCACAAGCCGAAGGGCTGACGCACCACAAGGGGGGGATCGCTGACGTGTCCTTTTAACGGCTTAGCTAGCAGCGCTGGCTATATTGGCGAACTTGCTCAACCACGACATGAGTAAACGCTGCTCTATGCACTTCTGGACAGCTCTATCAGCTCTCATCAGCTCGGCTCCATGGACACATCCAATGCACACATGCCTGGCTGCCTGCATCACTTCGACTGCTCCACTGACACGCTACGCCATGAACGGCTACAGACAGCATCATTCATGTCATGTAAGGGCTCGCTTCTCCTCCGTGGACAAAGACACATCCACATCGCTCTCTCTCCCTTACCCATCCATCGGCTCCCATCCATGTATCCATCCAGACACACATCCATCCATCCAGGCAGGCAGACAGGCAGACAGGCAGACAGGCACTCGCACGCACCCATCGACGGACACGCAACACATCCATCGAAATACACATGGGCACGAGCAGAACAAACACTTTGTGCTCACATATACAGTGGACGCACACGTCGGCTGCACACATACGCGGAGGCGGTGGTCACGGGGGTGCGGGAACACCCACATACAGGTCGGTTGTGTGTGCGACAGACGGTCGATACACATCCATTCATTCCATGTATGCGTCCTCCTGTCTGTCTGCTCTTCCTTCCAGCTACTGCGCACCTTGTCGGAGGGATAGACGGGACTCGCGACACAGATCCACATAGACAAACATCGATGCGAGGTGTCCACTTCGCATCACCACCCCGCCGCTCGAAACGCGAGGCACGGATATCCCGAACAAAATCACCGGCGGAGGGCGGCGCAGAGACCATGCACATGTCGGTGTCACGAGACAAAGTCGGCAAGTCGGTGGATCGGCGGTAAAGAGGCGAAATACATCTGCACTCGGCATGGCACCACAACAAACACATCACATCACATAACGACACCATGCACCCAACGCCCGTATGTGTGGCCTGTGTTCCCATCACTGCTTGCCTCCCTTCCTGCCCTGCCTCTGCCTTCCCTGTCTGTTGCTGCTATAGGTGGATGCACTGGCGGCGGTGTGGCTCTGACAGAACGACTGAGGTCGGATCGGCTCAGAGTCGGGCGACGTGTTCGGCGAGGATAGCAACGGCGGCAGAGCAGGCACGACGATAGACGGGGTGGGCAGAAAGCCGGGCGGTGGCAGTGCCGATGTGTTGGACGATAGCGACGGAAACACACTCTGACAGAAAACACATCCATGCACACAGCTCGCGTGATGCCCTGATGTTTGTCCGACATACGAGATAGTTTGGGGCCGGCAGGCCGCTTGCAAGGGAGGCTGCTGGCGGTGAATCCTCCTCTTGCAACACAGAGAGACGCTGTCTCTGGGGAGATTGGGAGGGCACCTTGAGACCGACTTTGCCCCTGTATGTCGCATCGAGTGCAATGGACGGCGACAGGTCTGGCTCCATTGATGCATCCAGCTGGTCCGCCCATGTGTAGAGAGCAATGTGCTCTTTCAACGCCGCTAATGGAGACATGCACACAGAGGCCGCTAGAAAGTGAGACACATGGCAAACCACTCATGGCTTACAAGGCAGTGGAGGCGCGCGCTTCACTGGTCGGCCCGGCCTCGCCCACCTCCCTCGGTGCGGGGAGGGACCACCCCTCGTCCGCCCGGTGTCCCTCTTCCCGTCGTTCTTCACCCATCAGGCCCTCGCTCCTCAGTCGCCCAGATAAGCCTCAACATCGACCACACCAGTAGCAGGGGAGGCTCCCTTGGCCTTGGTGGAGTCTCTTTCTTTTGGTCTCGGCGAGATGGTGAAGTCTTCCATGACGCGAGAGAGGATTTCGTCGTAGTATGTGGGCGGGGGGAGGGCGAGGGGCGAGGGCTCCTCTGCAGTGGGTGTTGGGATGTCCTCTTCGATACCCTGAATGCGAGAGGATCGTTGCAGGAAAGAGCCGTCTGCTGAATGCTCACCGTTGTGGCTTTGCGAATGTCTCTGAGGTACATGGCCATCTTCCTCACTGGACCAGACACACTACCTGCACACATACGTGCGCATATGTGTGTGGTGGAGAAATGCAGGGAAATATGCGAGTACATGCCTGCGGACCTAGCGACTGATGGCACATGTCAAGCATGCCCTGCAGCCTATCCAATGCATCAGGCAAATGGTCGAGGCTCTCCCTCAATGCAGGAAGCGAAGAGGAGTGGAGAGCTGCGCCATCGATGGACGACGAGAGGTGGTCAGATGGCTCAGAGAGCGTCTCTACATGGTGCGATAGCTGAACGAAACACAGACGAGAAGCAGCTTACAAACGAGAAACTCCGGCTCGATCACCTTCTCCCTGATTATTTGGAAGTCCTGGAAGTGCCTTCTGATGGTATCGAGTGTTGTGGTGATGGCCACATCCTGACTGAGCGCCTCACTCCGCTCACGACTTACCGAAGGACCCGACATGGCATCTGAAGCAAACACACAGTACTCACTAAGCCAGAGAAAGGCGCGTGCATCGCTGTCTCACCTTCTCCGCCCCCTTCAGCGCCCGCAAGGCTTTGCGACGACATCATGGGGGGCGGGACTCCTGATTCCGATACCCGTCTGAGTCTGCATCTCAGCTGCAGCTTTGGCACGGTGGGTCGAACGGCGTTTTTCAGGGCTTGCTGCAGTGTGAAGACAGACACATCGTCGAAATGAATGGGCACGCATCTACCGGTTGTGATCACCGTATAGTTGTGCTCCATCGATTGAGCCAGTTCCAACGCCGGCTGCGGTGCGAGAGCCAACCACCTGAAGGCAATCATATGTGTGTGTCTTTGTAGACGCTGTGATCCCTGCCTCTGTCTTTCACACTGCTTGATCCTGGAACGCCCGGAGTTCTCGAAACGGAACGCAAACGCCAAGATGCCGCTTTCCCTCCTCAATGATGTCAATCAGGACCACGCCCTCCTTCTGACAGGATTGGCCAGTATATGACCGTTATGTTTAGATGCTACAGTGTACCAGCTGCATGCACTATGGTATGTGACGTGTGGGACTCATGACCTCTGTGTATGTGGCTCAGTGACGGATATTCTCTTCACTCACATCGGGTCTGTCATGGGCGCAGCAACAGGTGGCGAGTCGTGAGTGAGGAGTGACGTGATGAGCGTCGACGTCAAGGAGCTCGTCGGCGAGCTGGGCAAGATGCTCGCCAACGAACGGCAGGCAGAGCGGCAGGAGCGACAGGCAGACGTCGCTCAAGCACTGGCGGCGGCACTCGGCAATGGAGGCCAGACGAGCGGCTTCTCGTCCAAGCCCATGACCGAGATGGCCAAACTCGACATGCCCAAATTCTCCGGCGAACCGGGAGAGTGGTACGACTTCTACATGAATCTGCTCGGCCTGATGACGGCAAGGTCGATGGAGGCGCTCCTGCCCATGACCGGGGCAGAGAGGAGCAAAGCACCAGGGCTGTGGGAGGCTGACACACTGGCAGAGGCCCTCTCGAGCCCGGCCAGCTCGGACGAGGAAATCGCCCGCCGCCCCACCAAGCAGCACAACGCCCTCAAGGAGCTCTGGAGCCTGCTGATCGTCTGCTGCCAGGGCAGGGCAAAGGAGATCATCCAGTCAGCTATGACGGAATGGAGAGGCAACAAGGACAAGACGGGCAACGGGGCAGAGCTCTTCTACCGGCTGGCATCGACATATGCGCCAGACCGGGATGCCATGAAGACCAGGGCGGTCACCAACGTGATGGACTTCGAGATGACGACCATCGACGTGCCCCTCGAGCTGGCGCGCTTCAACCAGCTGTGCGCGCATGCCAAGGCGTTCGACCACGAGATGAGCGATATCATCAAGATCAACGTCATGAAGAAGGCCCTCAGCAAGACAGCGCTCGAGAAGTTCGTCATGTTCCTCCACGGCACACCTGCACTCCGCGACTGGCAGCAGTTCCAGCAGCGACTGCAAGACTTCGCCGACGACCACAACATGGAGAGCGGCAACATCTCCATGTCGGCCAACGTCAAGTCGTGGAGCAACGGCAACACAGGCGGCAGAGGCAACGGCAGGGGCGTCAGTCGCGGCAGGGGTGGCTACGGCCGAGGGGGCTTCGCCGGTGGTAACGGCCAAGGGGACAACAGGAAGCCCCTCACGCCCCTGCTCTGCGACTACTGCCAGAAGACGCACAAGGGCGGCTGGAAGCACTGCTGGCTGCTCAAGTCGGACGAGGAGCGAAACAGGGTCCAGTGGCCAGGTGGATGGGTGCCCCCAGGATATCGCAGTCGAGGTGGCCGCGGCTATCAGCCGTCGAGAGGGGGCAGAGGTGCCTCCCGCGGCAGAGGGGGCGGGGGTCGCTCATACCACACCAACGCGACATTCGAGGACGAGACCTCGCCGGTCTTCGAGGACTCGTACATCACGGAGGAGGGCTACGGCATCAGCATGGCGTCACACACAAGGGTGGAGGAGGTCAGCGACGAGACAGGCGGCAGTGAGGAGGACGCCATCATCGAGACGCGAGTGGCGGCCACGCTGTCTGACAAGAAGGACAACCGCATCATTGCGGACTCGGGTGCGCAGAAGCACTGCATGTTCGACAAGGGCAACTTCCTCAACCTCACACCCACCAAACGGTACCGTATCCGATCGGTGACGGGGGACACAACAATGGCAGAGGGGGTGGGTGATGTCCAGCTGTTCGTGCGGACAGCAGAGGGTCGTGTGGTGGAGATGCGAGTGAAGGATGTGTTGTACGTGCCCGACTTGTCCGTCAACCTGCTGTCGGCTGGAGCCCTCGATCGAGTGTACAACTACACCACGCATCTCCAGGGGCCCGTTCGTGCATCAAGTTCGGCCAGATGACCGTTCCCCTTCGCAGAGAGAACGACCTCTACTATCTGTCCACCATGCCCTCACCCAACTCCCCACCACCACCACCCCCAACCCCACCCAAGACGCCACCCCCACCCAAGACCAAGACCACCCCACCGCTGGCAGCAACGGCAACAACAGAGGAGGTGGCAGCGACCACGCGCACACATCGGCTGATGTGCCATATCGGCCACAAGCGGTTGGCCCAATCACAGGAGTTCGTCGACGGCATGCCCAACATCAAGCCACCAGAGAATGGGTGCGTGTGCGAGGGCTGCGTAGCGGGCAAGATGCGGCTCAAGAACATCTGCAGAGAGCCAGGCACACGAGCGAAGGAGGCGCTCGACCTCGTCCACCTCGACCACAAGCCGATGAAGGTGACGTCGGTCAAGGGCCACACGGGGTTCTTCGTCATGGTCGACGACAAGACCCGCCACATCACCACCTTCGCCGTCACGTCGCGCAACAAGATCACCGAGTGCGTGGGCCGCTACGAGCAGGCCATGGGCAAGGTCAAGATGCTGCAGAGCGACGGTGCCAAGGAGTTCCGGTTCGGCAAACTGGCGCAGTACTGCATCGAGCACCGCATCCGCCAGCGGTTCAACGCCCCACACCACAGGAGCGAGGGAGGCGTCGTCGAGCACAAGGTCGGCATACTCATAGGGCTGATGACGTCCATCATGGCGGACGCAGGGGTGCCTGACGAGTACTGGCCGTACGCCCTAGACCACGCCGTCAGGGTGTACAACATCACCGTGACCAAGGCGGCACGGCTCCCCGACGGCAAACAGACCTTCCCCCACTTCGCCCTCTACGGCAAGAAGGCGACCATCAAGGGGCTCTACCTCTTCGGCTCGGCGGCGTTCGTGCACCAGAGGAAGGAGACCAGGAGAGGACTGCAGCCCAAGGGCAAGATGATGGTGATGCTGGGCATGGCGCCGCAGATGAAGAACACCTACCGCGTCCTCGACATCGACACCAAGAAGGTCTACGAGACCCCTGAGGTGATCGTCGACGAGAGCCGCTTCCCCTTCAAGGAGCGTCGCGAGCGCATGATGAACCCAACACCAGCCCCGTGGGCACACAATGGTCAGAGGACAGGGGCGGGGGACGTGTATTGGGGGTATGGCGGGGCGCATGACGGTATGCGAGAGAAGGATGTGCAGATCAACGTCCCTCTCCCGTCGACGACGTCATCGACGGCACCGCCCTCCCCCACACCATCATCGTCTGCCAGCCCCCC